ATTTGCATTGCCATTTTGTCCATAATTACAACGTCCCATAACTTCGTGAACCATTGTTTTATAGTTGGCACTTTGCTTAATTTCCAAACCTGGGCTATTAACGTTTTAGCTACGCGTCGCTCTGGCAACGGGGCTGTTTGAAGTAGCAACGAAAATAATTTTATGGTTGGGGGTCACCACAACATGAGGAACTGTATTAAAGGGCCGCGGCATTAGGAAGGTTGAGAACCACTGGACCAAGGGGATGATTTCAGTATAGGGCGCTTGCCAGTGTGGATGGGCATGACCTAAGCATGTGAGGGTTGGGGGTCACCACAACATGAGGAACTGTATTAAAGGCTCGCGGCATTAGGAAGGTTGAGAACCACTGATTCAGTATAGGGCGCTTGCCAGTGTGGATGTGCATGACCTACTAAGCATGTGATATCATGTGCATGACCTACTAAGCATGTGAGAGCCAGTTTGGTGTAGTGGTCAAGTGCACTGACTCTAATCTGGGAGAACCGGGTTTGATTCCCCACTCCTCCACTTGCACCTGTTGGATGACCTTGGGCAGGCCATAGTTCCGTCAGAGCTGTTCTTGAGGGCAGTTCTTGAAACAGCTCTCTCAGCCCCACAGTGGGTCTTTTGTTTGTAAGCTGCTCTGAGATTCCGAGTGAAGGGTGATAAATCCTATCTCTTCTTCTTCTTCTTCTTCAGTCATGTGACAGGCAGAGGAGGAACCAGAGTTATGACTTGAGAACCAGGTGGTGTACTGTTGTGCAGAACTATTCAAGGGTTAGAGCCTTTCCAGCCACATAATGCACCGGGGGACCTTGGCTTGGTCACTCTACCTCAGCCTAACCTGCCGCTCAGAGTTGTTGTAAGGATAAGAGGGACCTGGAAGAGGCCTTGCTCAGTCATGGAATGTGTTGGGTGACCTTAAACCTGTCAGTCGCCAGAACGTCTCACATTGTGGTTGGATCTCTTCTTCTTCTTCTTCTTCAGTCATGTGACAGGCAGAGGTGGAACCAGAGTTATGACCTGAGAACCAGGTGGTGTACCGTCGTGCAGAACTATTCAGGGGTCAGAGCCTTTCCAGCCACAGAATGCACCGGGGGACCTTGGCTTGGTCACTCTATCTCAGCCTAACCTGCCACTCAGAGTTGTTGTAAGGATAAGAGGGACACAGAAGAGGCCTTGCTCAGTCATGTTGGGTAACCTTAAACCTGTCGGTCGCCGGAACCTCTCACATTGCGGTTGTGAGGATGAAATGGGTGGGGTGGGAGTTAAGGGCAATGTTCCCTATAAGTTGTGAAGTCTTCTGAGCAAAAATTCTCCTTTGTGAGCTTCTGGCATGAAAGTTGTGAGCGAGCGATTTGGTTCCTGCATAAATTAGTTTGCTCTGGAGCGATCCTTCCTGAGCGTAGACAAAAATGTGTGAACTGGAGGCTAAAAGTGTGAGCTAGCTCACACTAACTCAGCTTAGAGGGAACACTGCTTAAGGGAGGGATATAAAATATGAGAGAAGGAATGAGAAAAACTTCGGTGTATGTAGAATTAATGCTGACTAATTGTCATTTCCTATCATGTCTGGGTTGGGTCTGTGCCTGGAGGCCCATGGTGGCTCTCGGTGGGCTTCAACTGGCGCAAAGGAGAGGACAGATTAAAAAGCCACCCTTCCCACTGCACAAATCTCACCCAGTCATTTCAATTCCAATTAGTTTGGCTCCTTGACGTAGGAAGAAAGCACCCATTGCAGGCCAAGTGTCCTGTGACACTGTTTGTTCTCAGTCTGTCGCTTCAGGCAGGGTTTTACATTTTTTTTGCACGTTTTCCGATCCAACCGTTGAAACCCAGCCGAGTTGACAGAGTGACAAGTCGGAATCCCTTCATCCCTTTGGCCCTGTTTGGACATACGGCTGCCTTTTGAGATGGGGAAAAGGCCGGGCCAACCGCCAGGCTTCTCTGAGCAGGGAGAAGCTCCAGCAGGGGTGCTTGCGGGGGTTCTATTCGAGGTCAGCACATGGGAAATGTAGGGCGTCCTTGCAAAATTGCAGGTGGGTAGCCCTTTTTGCCTGCAGTAGAAGAGCAAACCTCTAGTCCAGTAGCCCCTTAGGTCTTTAAGGGCTACCGGGCTGAACGCTTACTTGTGCACCATCTGTTGCATTTGTACGGAGCACAGTGGAAGCAAAGAGCTGTTTTGAGGCCAATCTGCATCCCAGACGGCGTGCCAGGTGCTTCACTGTGTCCTTGTCTCAATCCAAAGAGCAGAATTAGGCCCCGAAGTATTGCTGTGCTCCTCTTTTTGGCTCCCGGGCCATTAGGAAACGACTAGTGACAAATGGTCTCTATGGTGTGGTTTTGGGACCAGGGATACCCATGTTCAAACTCAGCCAGGAAGCACACTGAGGGGTCAAAGGGCAGTCTGTTTCCGCTCAGCCCTGTTGTTTTATTTATATCGTAAACTGCCTTGAGTCCCCCAAGCTTAGAAAGGCAGCTTAAAAATGCTTAAAATAAATAAATATCTTTCAGGGAAGCTGTGAAATAAGAGAATGATACCCACGGCCTTAAGCTCCTCGGAGGAAAGGTGGGATAAAAATCTCAGAGATAATTAAAAGGCTCATTAGAGTGCACAGACAAAATCATGGCAACACTGTTGATCTGTGTTGTACGACCGGGGCTATTCGTATGAAGGTGAACAGAAGACAGGAAGAGTCTGGCTTGCAAGACTCAAGCAGTGCTCTCCTACTCAGAGATACTCCAGTCTAAGGCCAGTGACATCAATGGGCTTTGAGTAGAGTTAACTCTACATAGGATTGCACTGTAGGACTGCACAAGGGGAAGGGTCATGGCCATGGCCAATGTTCCCTCTAAGCGGTGGAGTCTTGTGGGCAAAAATTCTACTTTGTGAGCTACTAGCATTAAAGTTGTGAGCGAGCCATTTGGCTACTGCATAAATTAATTTGCTCTGGAGCCCTCCTCCCTGAGCCGAGACAAAAACTGTGATCTAAAAATGCTTCTTCCCTCATGGGCAGCAGCTCCCCATGATGTCACCTCTTCTAGCTCTGATACCCAAGTCCCTTTTCACCACTGGGAATGCCGGGGATTTTCTGCTTGTGAAATCTGTGCTCTCCCCACAAGTCTGGTCCCTCTTACAGGTTTTGACACCCTGCCCATATTCTTAAATGCCAGTCTCTGTTCATTTTTGATGCCTGAGAACAGTCTTTGCTCCTGCAATTCCACCCAAAATACTACACAACCGATCACTGTAACATCTTTTACCCTCCTTTTGTGAGACCATGAACCACCACCATAGTGTTCTTCGCCAGCCCTTCTAACGTCCCACCTTTGCACCAGCGGCAATAGTTTGCTCCTCTTTCGTGATGTACTCCGTCCACATGTTCCACTGCCCGCTGGCTTGTTTATGAAAATAAAATTCATAGATGTTCCCTGAGGAAGGAAAGGCAAAGGGAAAAGCTCTGTGTCCTGTTTAGATTATAGTGGTTGGATATGTCCCTAATATGTTCCCGCCCTGAAAAGTAAATCGAAATCATCTGATGTTGCTGAATTACCTCTCTGGATATTGAGATTTAGAATCTCTACAAGCAGGCATAAAGACAAAAATGTAAAAAGAATTCCAAGTGCACACACAGCACTTGTGAGCCTCTATTGAAATGGACTGTCTACCTGGAATTAACGAAGGATTTTTTCCCCCTGCATGTGCTCTTATTGACGGCCGGTCAAGAAAAACATGGAATCCATCTTGAATTTGCTTACAAGTAAAAGGTATGTACCGTATATACAGCAACCTTTTGTGCACAGCCTTGGGGGAGTCGTCTTCCATTCAGCATCTTTTTGGTAGATCTTGTTATGTGCATTCATAGCCTACCTGTGAATCAGATGCAGATAAACAGTCTTGCTCCTCCTCTCCTGGCTCTACTGCCCCCGCCTCCTCCTGACCGGGAAGGGGGGGGGGATCGTACAAAGGGTCATGCAGCTGATTGCTTGAGCCAGGAGGTATCCATCTAACTAGACCAGAGGTCCCCAACGTGGTGCCCGTGGGTGTCATGGTGCCCTATGACCAATGTTCCCTCTAAGCTATCGAGTCTTGTGAGCAAAAATTCTACTTTGTGAGCAAATGGCATTAAAGGTGTGAGCAGGTAATTTGGCTACTGCATAAATTAGTTTGCTCTGGAGCCCATCCCTCCTGCACTCAGACAAAAAGGTGTGAGCCGGAGGCTAAAAAACTGTGAGCTAGCTCACACTAACTCAGCTTAGAGGGAACACTGGTCATGGCTCAGTGCCAGAGCTCTTGCTTTGCAGGCTCAGAATCCCAGGTTCAATCCCTTTCATCTCTTGCTAAAAGGATCGGGTTGTAGTTGACGGGGAATACCCTGCAGAGCCCTTTGCCAGTCAGTGGGGACCAGAGCAGCCTTGATAGATCGCTGGTCTGACTCAACGCAAGGCAGTTTCGTGGGGGTTTCTTTAGGAGGGGACTGTGGTTCTGTGGCAGAATATCTGTTTTGTACGCAGAAGAACTTGGGTTCAATCCCCAGCACCTCCAGTTAAAAAGGACTGTGTAGCAGGCCTCTGCCAGAGAGACCCTGGAGGGCCACTGCCAGTGAGAGTTGACAAGACTGACCTTAATAGACCAGTGGTCAAGATGCAGGGTAAGGCAGCTTCATGAGGGTTTCAAAAGACTGCCTACAGAAGGAGGGGGATAAGAGACATTGGCCAAGAAAATGGAGGTTTAAGGGACAGGACAACCAGATGAGTATCAGGATCTCTGACTAAGGGAGCTTGGACTCCCAAAAACTCATAACACCCCCCCCAAAAAAATCTTGTTGGCCTCGAGTCTAGCTCTTCTCCACAGCTGCTCTCTGAATCTATCTTCAAGGATATTTCAGGTGGCACCAGACCACCCTATCACTCACTGGCATTTTGCCTGAACCGTGCCACACAGCATGAACTGGATCCAAGGAAGACAAAAGAGGTGACTCAGACTGACAAGTAGCAGTTTTAATGACCAAGAGTATCTGAGAACAGCATTCCCAGTTATGCAAAAAGAAAAACAACAGTATTTTTTAAAAAAACGTGAAAAAACCTGACCCCAAATACAGATATTTTAAAACACACAAGGTACCATAAGGCACAAAACTTAACCATCTGGCAGTGTGCAACACCCACCACCCCTGCATCTTGCACCAGCCTTCATGAGAGAAAAAAGGGGGCAAAAAGAAAAGATATCACTGCCAAATAAACTGAAACACACAACATTCACAAGAGCCATTAAAACACACACACAAACACAATGATAAGGAGAAATGCCATCTTTTAACTCCATTTCCAGCTATCTATTAAACATGGCCCAGGCTTCGTTTTTCAACAAAAAGATGTTGAAAGAAATTTAAGGCTTGAAAGTGGTTTTGCACATTCAAAATGAAAGAACTGTTACCCTTTCGCGCTATTGACTGTGAACACCTTGTTAGTAGAAGACCTTTCACCTCTGAGTTTATGCAACCAAACCCCGCTCCTGTCTTGACACATGACATCCCTTGACCTACATGGGAGATAAACCTGGAGAAAACAAACAGGCACGTCTGAGCAGCCTTAACGTGACAACAAATTTAATGATGGATTTATTTATTTTTGCTCCTGTATACAATGAACGGAGCCTTCGCCATTCAGACAAGCAAACGTTTCAAGAATGCAATGGTGCCTTCAAAAATATATGCTGTAAGCTCTGCTGGATGAAGGGTTCTGAGAACTGGTTCAATTTATTCACCCTTATTAGTGGCAGGCTCATCTGAGGCAGGAGAGCTGCTCCGTAGCGAGCTGATTCCATTAGCTACTTCTTTCTTTGACCGAGCGCTGCAAAACGGAGAAGAGAAAAGTGTCAGACTTAGGCATCCTGCTTGCGCGGCCCACAGGAACCCAAGCCTAATAGGTTAGTGTGCTTTATTATTCAGAATTCCCAGAAGGTTCCTCATTATACCATCTCTCTTTTGGTGCTTCTGCACTCCCAGATCTTCTGGAAAGCTCTTAAAAATTGAGATGCCATTTATTTGGGCTCAGAGAGGAATGACTATGCTGTTCCAAATATCTTTCCATTTCAAAGGCATCGGACTGCTCATTACAAGAGCCGTTTTGCGATGACGACCATGGGGAATGGTAGGCTCGCCCACACAGATTGGAAGCAGAACATCCAAGAGAAACCACTTCATAGGGAACAGTGAGTTCCATTTGGGTCTGTGCTAATCTACTACAACCAGGGTCTCCGGCCCTAAAGTATGGCCAAGCCAAAGGCCCAGGAGGGGCTCCCAGCATGCTGACTACACAGAGGATCACAACATGGGTGGTTCACAGATGCAGTTTTTGCTATGGAACTAAAGCTATTTATTTTGGCTCTACTTTTTTCCATTTCTAATGTCTATCTCTATTTTTCTCCTTCACAAAAGCAAATGGAGGCTCTCCTGAAGTAACACTAAAAAGCCTACAGGTGGCACTGTGGCGCAACCCTCTACACATAGTACCCCCCTCCCCCGCCAGATTCTGTTAACATGCAATTAATTGCCAGGTATTTGGGTTAGGCTTTTGCAAGCTGTCATCTATACAGACGTTCCAACCTGTTCTCCACTGCACCAACGCCAATAGTTATGTGAAGAAACAGAAGTGTGTAAACTTGGGTGATCTGCGGAAAGCTTTGTCTGGGAACGACTATATGAAGAAGAATCTATGCTGCATCAGACTACTGGCCCATCTACTCCAGGGCCATCTATTGCAGCCAATGGCATCGCCTCCAGGTCACACTGTGGTCTTTCCCAGCATTGTTACCTGAGGCTGTTTAACTGGAGGTGGCTGGGGTCTTCTGGATACAAAGCTAAGAGATTGCCCCCTGACAAGCAGAAAACACAGATACAGCCCAGTTCCCAAGACATGACAAGAAGGAGGAGGCGGGGGAGGGGGGAGATTGGATTTATACCCCGCGCCCTTCAGTTGGAGTCTCAGAGCAGCTTACAATCTCCTTTCTCTTGTCCTCCCCACAACAGACACCCTGTGAGGTGGGTGGGGCTGAGACAGCTCTTTCGAGGACTGCTCTTGAGAGAACAGCTCTGAGAGAACTTTTGATTGATCCAAGGTCACACCAGCAGCTGTGTAGTGTATTCAAAGCTGCCTTGAATGCATGACATGTTGTGAAACGTCTAACTGGAATGTAATGTTAAGCTTCGTCCTGGGCTAGGATCCAAATCCATCCAATAGTATTGCTAGCCCAGGAAGTAAGAAGCGGAAAATGACGAAGCCAGCCAGAAGACGTTCTACACCGGGCAGTGTCGGCGTGTGCAATTAAAATGAATATATGTTGTCTTCCCTATCCCCTACAAACATTGTTAGTCCCTTGTCTATATTTGAGTAACTGTACATCGCTTTGAGCCCACTGGGGAAAGCGAGTAATAAATGGAAAGTATTATTATTATTATTATTATTATTATTGCTGAATCACTCTCCGACTGCTTTGTTAAGCGAGCGACTTAACAAGCTGCAAGTGGAGGAGTGAGGAATCAAACCCAGTTCTCCCAGATTAGAGCCCGAGCTCTTAAGACCTACACCAAACCGGCTGATGAAGGACCCTGTCTTAATAAAGCAACGGGATTAGATTTCAACCCCATGCCCCAGCAAGGATAGGCACAGGAGAGCAGCTCTCATACAAAAAAACAGGACATGCAGAGGGGAAGACAGGTGGTACCAATGTATGCGCTTGCACCCTGGTTTCCCACTAGATGGGATTTTGATAAGGGGCAAGGGCTTGGAATGCACACAGGATCATCAGAACGTTGGAGGTGGGAGCCAAGGCAGTGTTTGCTTACAGGTCTTGGACATATTTCCTGTTTAATCTAAGGACGCCCCAGGACCTTGTGTGAATTACATGATGAACGAATGAAGCAAAATCCTAACTGGCACCAAATACACCGACACGGTTGGTTGCAACTGTGCCTGTCAATACTTACTTTGCAGCAGACCAGCACTTGAGCACGGTTGTAAGTGCCACATAGCTAATGCTCAGCACACCAGATACTGCCAGAGACACCAAACCCAGTCCACCGAGCACACAAAGCAGGGTGATGCCTCCCAGCGACACTACAAAACCTAGAGAAGGGGCAGGAGACAGTTACATTGTATGTATTCCGGTAGGAACAGCTCATAACACAAAACAGCCTGCATGCTTATTATCTAGTAAACTAGAGTGACTTCTTATTTCTCAATGGAAGGGACTCTGGGCAGGTCAAAAGCCATGCGGGCCGCTGCATCATGTACCTTATTCAGAGGACATCCTCTCCAAAAAGCTGACCGACCTTTGTATATAACATCAGATAGCTTTGTCTTAATGTCCGTCACGGTGCCGATCTTCCATAAGGAGGGAATCATGCCGTGTCGCATCAGACCATGGGACAGCAGCTCTCTAACTGTTTTCAGTGGGACCCACTTGGAAACTCACTCCTCCTTTTGGGAACTGCCAGCGATGTGGGCCCGGGAGACGATGGGTGTAGGTGACACGTATGGCCTCCTGCACTGCTGGTCATTGGAGCAAGCTGAACCCCTGGGAGCCAGGGGGAAGGAATGTGGCAGCTCTGCGACAATCTCCTTTTCCCACCGCTGGGAGGACGGGGACTCCAAGACTCGAGTCTGTGAGACAGTCACAGCCTGCACTTTAAGAACTTCCCGATGGGGAGTTGTGCTTGAAACTGGAACCGTCTCCCTTGTGAAGTGGTGGGTCCTTCGTCATTGGAGGTTACTGGATACCTACTTGTCGGGATATTACTGCAGTTCCCACACTGGCTGGGGGTTGGACTAGATGACCCTAAAGGTCCCTTCCAACTCTGAGACTAAATAAATAAACCCAGTGGAATAACGGAATTGTAAAAATGTGACAAATGGTCAAATCAAGTACTAGTGATAAATGTTTTCAGCACAAGCACGGAGTACTTAAACAGGGAAAGAAATTCCAGCTCTCCCACCTCCCCTAATTGTAAGGTAATACCTTCTACGATGATCACGCCAATGCAGGCAATGACAGTTGTGGAGACTGCGAAAATCAGAAAGAACGCAACAGGCACTGCGGACACCGCCAAGAACACCAGCAGGGACAAGGCGACAAAGGGATGGCTGTCTAAGTACTGGCCAAGCTGGGAGTTCATAAAAGCAACAACCTACAATGTGAATTTACAAAGAGGAACGCGGTCAGATTTTATATACTGTTGCAAAAAACAACGCAAAGCAAAACAAACGACAACAAAAAAAACCACAACACACATCTCATCACCCCTATATAGGGAAATGTAATTCTTTCAAAATGAAACTACCTAATACTAAGAAAACCATCAGCAGGCCAGACATTCAGGTATGCAGAGCAATCTGTCTTGGCTGGAGGTGGACAAATGAGAGCCCATCAGCCACGTGGCCCACAAGTTGCTGAACACACCAGTTCTCCAACTTCCTGTAACGGGGCCCACTTCCAACGTTACTGTACTTTTTGGGAGCCACACTGCTGTCCTCTCCAACATAAAGCACAAGAATCTTACAGCTGATAACAAGGAACTGTTTTATTTTTAATGTTACTGTTTTATTTAGTTATCAAACTTATATCCTGCCTTTCTGACCTTACAAGGGCCTTGCCAATAAATGTATGCCATTACCAAACAAGAAGATTTTAATTCACAGCCATTTCTCACACAATACAGGGAGGCAAACCCAAATTTGCCACTGAGTCTCCCAGAGCCTCCTCTTCCAGCCCCCCCCCCCCCACTCCTGGCCTTGCAAATCACCAGCACAACCTAGTTTTGGGTCCCAACCCTTTAGCAATTTTCTGGGGACACCAGCAGCAAACTGAAGCTCCCGGAAAACTGTTAAAGAGCTTGAGGGTTACTGTTAATTGGTTAAGTAAGAACAGTGGAGCCTAAGAGAGGGCCACATTTGAAACTCTGCCCATTTTCAGGGCTCCGGATACCATCTCTACTTGTTCTCAGATGAGGCCTGCAGGCTGGAAAATATGCCCACTCCCAAACACTACTGTGTACGGATGAAAGAAGAACTCAACAGCCAGGTTTTGAAAACTTAGCAATAACCAGTGAAAAGAATATATAGTTATTTATTGGATGTTGATAGTAAACAGCAGAAAAAATTCATAAAACTTTGGACTAAAGATCTGAAAACCCCGATAAATCCAGAGATTTGGACATCAGTGTTAAGAAGTGGTCTAAATTGTTCAGTAAACCTTTCTGCCAAAGAAAATTTAATAAAAATGCTATATCAATGGCACCTGTCACCCTATAAATTTTACCAAGAGGTTAATGGAGATTGTTGGGTATGTGGGGCCACCAATGCCAATTTTATACATATTTGGTGGGAATGTTGTAGAGTGGTTGAATTCTAGAATATGATTGCTACAGTTATCTCTAAAGGTATAAGGAAAGTTAACGTTATCTCCTAGGGTTTTTTGTTGAATTATGTGGATTTCCTTTCTAAGGATGCTCATGATTTTGTTCTTAATGCTGTAACATCTGCAGGGGTAACATTTGCTCAAATTGTTTTTTTGTCCAGAATGAGAAGAGTTTTTTTCAAGTTTGTATAAATGATGTTTATAACAGCTCTGTAATATACATCCTGTATCTTAGTTCTTTGTTCATTTTGGATGTATTCCTATTATTTAAAATTGAATAAAACTTTTTTTTAAAAAAAAACGCACATCCCTAGGCTAGTTGTTTCCTACGTAGTGCTTATTAAAAGATCTGAAAGCCTGATAAGTTCTATTCTGCATGGAGCTCAAAATAATGCTCCTTTCATGCATGTAAAAAGGTAGTTGTTTAAAAAGGCAAAATTAGAGCCATCACAATGCAGGAGCAGAAACCAATAGGAAGCTTAATCAGCAGGTTTTCCATGAAGAGTAGCAACAGGGACAAAGAAGGGGTCAAGAATGTCATTTGCAGCAGAACATTTTAATAATGTAATACAGCTATCCTGTTCGGAGCAACATTGGTCAAGCCCAGAAGCTGCACGTTCAGCCAAGTATCTAACAAAAAAATGAATTTAAGATCTTGAATTAGTTGACCATGCACCTGTGAGGCTTTCAACCAATTAGATTTATTTGCAAATCTAACATTATGGTAATGTATCGGGAGTCACCGTGTTCTCAGTAGCTTTCAGAACTAGCCTGGGCCACACTGACAAAAACACAAGGGGGGGGGGGAGTACACATCCTTTCTCTGCAAGCTGGTAGGCAGCCTTTTTTCGTTGACTTCTGCACAACAATTTTGACCTGCCTTATTTAGATGCTGTGAGAACAATAGCCAAGGTAACAAACTCAGCCTGATCAACAGATGCTCAGGACCTCCAAAAAGAACCAGTGGGAAAGGGCAGTTAAGAAACTGAAATAAATAAATAAATATATACATACATATATACATATATACACACAGCGAAGGAGTGGGCAGGTCTAAGGTCTTTTGCCATCAATTGCAATTTGCCATCAATTGCAACGGGTGGCCCCAGGCCGGCCACACACAATCTCAGCCTAACCTACCCCACAGGCTTAACATTAAGAACATAAGAGAAGCCAATGTTGGGTTAGGCCAAAGGTCCATCCAGTCCAACACTCTGTCATACAGTGGCCAAAAATACCAGGGGCCACCAGGAGGTCCAGGAGTGGGGCCAGGACACTAGAAGCCCTCCCACTGTTGCCCCCCCAAGCATCACTTGCCCCAGACTGAGAGTTCCTATCTATACCTTGTGGCTAATAGCCACTGACAGACCTCTGCTCCATATGTTTATCCAATTCCCTCTTGAAGCCGTCCATGCTTGTAGCTGCCACCACCTCCTGTGGCAGTGAATTCCATATATTAATCACTCTTTGGGTAAAGAAGTACTTCCTTTTATCCGTTCTAATCTGACTGCTCAGCAATTTCACTGAGTGCCCACGAGTTCTTGTATTGTGAGAAAGGGAGAAAAGTACTTCTTTCTCTACCTGCTCTATCCTATGCATAATCTGGTAAACCTCTATCATGTCACCCCTCAGTCGTCATTTCTCCAAGCTAAAGAACCCCAAGCACTTTAACCTTTCTTCATAGGGAAAGTGTTCCAACCCTTTTTATCATTCTAGTTGTCCTTTTCTGCACTTTTTCCAATGCTATAATATCCTTTCTGAGGTGTGGTGACCAGAATTGTACACAGTATTCCAAATGAGGTTGCACCACCGATTTATACAGGGGCATTATGATACTGGCTGATTTGTTTTCAATTCCCTTCCTAATAATCCCCAGCATAGCATTGGCTTTTTTTATTGCAGGCGCACACTGCCTCAACATTTTCATTGAGTTATCTACTACAACTCCAAGATCTCTCCCATGGTCAGTCTCCACCATTCTGCGCATGCTCAAACTTTTTTTTTTTTTTTTAAAACAACGCCAACGCCCGCAGCGTGTGAGCGGGCATACACTGATGGGAGCCGCAAAATGGAGGTAAGTGTGATCGGGTTTCAGCCGGCATAAACTGCACCAGTTCCAACCGGTACAGTTTATGCTGGCTGAAATGCTGCGTCTGAACGCTCCCACAGAGACGAGATTTTCCGTTACAGAACCCATGCTGAGTCTTCCTCAATTGTTTTTGTTCATCAATGTGCCTACTAATTTTCTCCTTAATAATGGTTTCCACCAATTTACCCGGTATCGACGTCAGACTGACTGGCCTGTAATTTCCCAGATCTCCTCTGGAACCCTTTTTAAAGATGGGGTGACATTAGCTACCTTCCAGTCCTCGGGAATGGAGGCAGATTTTAATGAAAGATTACATATTTTTGTCAGGAGATCCACAAGTTCACATTTGAGTTCTTTCAGAACTCTTGGATGTATGTCATCTGGGCCTGGTGATTTATCAGTTTTTAAGTTGTCTACCAGTCGTAGGACCTCCTCTCTCGTCACCTTGTTGTAGTTAGGACAAAACAGGGATGGAAAAACTATGTACGTAGACAATTCTATAAGCACACAGGTTGTCCCACAGTATATGTTTCTCTTAATTATTTCTTCTTGCCAGCCCAATAGAAACACATAATTAGGAATGTTGTCATGAAATTCAAAACTCACACGTGAATTGCTGTGTATGGTTTTCATCATGGAGTGCCACCGTTTCTGAAGATCCTGCAGTTCTTTAGCCATGATGGAACTTTCAGTCAAAAGCTTGAACCTCCCGCTGGACAAATTAGTATATTTTCAGCCACCCAACCTTTAAAAGGGGGGGGGGGAGAGAAAACATTTACAATTGGCCTTAATAATATTAAAGCTACCCCCCCCCACACACACACACCCCGTATTTACTTACAGGGCAGAAAACTGAAAAAGATCTGAACAGAGACCTTAATAATATAAATACCAAATGTGTGCTTAACCTTCAGAGCTGGGTAGAGAGCTACATTTGTGAGAAAATTCCTTTCGTGCCTATGTATGTCTCTATGCACATCGAACAGCATCGTAGACACTGAATACCAGACACAGAATTGCATTCAGATAACCTGAAGAACCCCCGTTTGTTGGTCCTTACGCATCACAACAAACTGGGATTTCATCACACTGTGGTTTATAAACCCCAGATTATCATGATGTCTGAATGCAACCCAAGCAAATGTGGAGAATCCACCCTGAGAAACCTTTGATTTGTCTCCAGTTCTCAAACCTCCTTGTTAATTCTCCATTCCCTCCACTTCCAGTCATTCAGTTTCCCTGCTTGGTCACGTGGCCAATGACACATGGCTATTGCTCCCCATCGGTTACATTTTTACCCTGCTCTTCCTCCAAGGATCTCATATACAGTTCTCCTCCAGTTTATCCTCACAACCCTGTGAGGTAGAGTCATCTTAAAGCATCTTCACCCTGCTAGTCCTTCTAAATGGAACTGTCTTCCAACAAAAAGAAAAAGTGGAAGGTGATTGCAAAACCCCATTGCTGGGTTGAAACCCCATACAAATGTCTTGCCATTCTGAACAGGCGACATTTCTCAGAAACACACACTAATGTCCCTGGCTTCTTGGGAAGGCTGCCAGTTCGTTGTGCTTACAACCAGACCAAGGAAGACAGTCTCTGGGGAATTTGCTGTTGTGTAAATCCCACTGGAATGGTTGCAAGTTGTGAAAATGGGTCACTCCAACTCAATCATACAGGGACAGTGAAGAAAAGGCTTCTAGCAGATTATAACCAAGGCTCTTGAAAACTTTCTTTCTTTGTTTAAACATAAACACCAGCCTGAATTTAGCTGCCTGACTCTCCATTCTAAAAGCATTTCCATCTGGAACAGGTGCTTATGAAACATGAATAAAATATTTCACAACTTTTTGATGATTAGAGGAAGTACAAAACCTCATTTATGTTGTCATGGTTGCTAGAAGGAAAACACACACTAGACAAATCTCTCCCATATTAGCTCTTTCTCTTCCTTTCACAGTTAAGTGCTGAGTGCACTTTGTTCAAAAGCAGAGATTGCTCCATACTTAAGACCACAGCAAGAACAGCAGCGTTGTGCAGTGGTGAGAGTGTCAGACTGGGACTGGGGAGACCCAGGTGAGCCCATAAAGGGGTGCATGACCTTGGATCAGTTGAGCTCTCTTTGTCTTAGGCCCATTACGCACACACGTCTTACTGCAGATTTTCAGAGCAGTAAGCCTTTAATCTTGACTTTGGATTCTGTGTCCGCCTTACGCTCCATTCTTTTTCCTCCGGTGTATTTATTCTGTAGCTATAATCAAATCTCCCACTTTTCTAAATCAGGGTGGAACGTCATTTGTGACATGTGTGGGGTGGCGTCCAAAGTAGCATCCAGGAAGCGTCTTCCATTTAAATCCTTGGGGTTCAGGTTTTATGCTTGCATTTTAGCCTTAGTTTCTTCAATGAAAGGGAACAGAAAGGAACCCAGGCAAAGGGGGGAAATCATATATTGAAACAGACCAGACCAGACAACAAGCTGGCTGCTCACACCAGCGCGGGGCTTGAACCAACACAGTTCAGATCCCACAGTTAAGACAGTGGGATATACCCACTGTGCCACCGCCCCCCTAACTAAGTTAAAACTGCATTGTGGAAAAACTCCTCACCAAGGAATTCACTAGGAGAGATGTAGCAGGCATGGGCTGGGAAGCTAAAATGGCCCTGGCATTGGGCTCTGTTTGTGCCACATGGCCAGCAGCCCTGCAGGGGCCCACTGGGAACTTTCCCTGTAACTTAGATGGCCAGTCTGCTTCTGCAGGCAGGGATTCAGCTAAAGTTAAGAGCTTTAAAATAAAAATAAAATGTGGATGCAAAGCTGCTCAAAAGTTTACCAACGCAGAAAGGTTTTCACTTAATTTTAATAAAACCTGGCAGAAGACCATTCTGATTAATCTGTTTTGGAGTGACAAGAAATATATTAGGAGGAAAAATAAGCACTCGCTTGCATACCAAGGACAATATGTTGCATGTACCAATCACATGTGCAGTAAAGCATCGAGCATAAAAGCAAGGGGCCAAGCATGCAGCAAATATGCAAGCTTGTAGAACCAAATCCTAAACCACAATGACTGCTAAAGACTATTCCTAATGAAGGACATGCAGTACAAAGTGATCTTTGGTGCCTGGCCAAAACCGAAAAGTAATCTGAGAGAAGGGATTAGAATAGTGAACGGCATGACTGGGGGAAATGCCCAAAGCACCATATCTTAACACGAAGTAGATTGAAATATGAGCCTTGGTTGCAGAGCTAAAGGGAGAAGAAACTGGCTCCTTGAAGTCAAGAGCAAGAAAGTGCTCTGAGTAGAGAAAGAAGGGAAGCTAAGGCACCTCTGACAGTCCCACCCCTTGCTTTTAACCAAATCACAGGCCATAAAATCATCCAAAATGGACCACTGCATGGTACATATTTTCTCTTTTTACAAATACAGAACTGACAGAAAAGCTACCGTGACATTTGATTTTCCACACAGGCACAGAAAAGACAAATCCATAATAAGGCAACAAACAACAAAGTTCTTCCTGTGAGATACACGGACCTTATTGTGGTCGGCTTACCCACAGATAGTAGGAGACATCAGCTGTGTGGGTAGAATGCACTAAAGGAACTTCTGTTGGTGAGTAGGTAATTCAACTCCGTGGGAATACTGCACTCAATATGCCCAGCGTGCCAGTGGGCACAGTGCCCAGGAAAAAAAAGTCATACAGATAAAAGCCTTTAAAAAAAAAAAGGAAAGAAAAAGAAAACTGGCATTCTGCCATCTAGTTTGCCCGGAGTATATGCTCCAATGTTAGCTACATACAATGTTAGGTATTGTTGTTTTGGCAACCTGCATGGAATAGAGGGGCTGGAGAAGATTTTGAAATCTCACCCCCTCCCCAATCTCTGCTTCCAGGATTCTCTAAGCCCTCAAGGGCTCCCCCCCCACACCCCTTCCCCTTTAACTAATTCTCAGCTGCTCTCAACATTCCATCCCTCGGAGATATTTAGTCATCATTAGGCACCTTTCTTGGGGCTTTCTGGGTATCACTGCCTACAGGGAAGTCACACATAGCAGAGTCTGTTTCACTGACAGAAGCTTCATTTAGCTCCATTTTAGCATACTGTAAGGGAGGAGAACAGTGCGAGGCTTCTCAGCCCACATTTTTCCCAAGAGGAGTCATACTGTCATACCCTCAGGAAGAAGCAGAAGCCTTGTCTGGGTAACTTCACCCCTCAGAGATGTAGGCATTTATTCACCAGGTGTGCTCTTCCATACCTCTTTCTACTTCTGCATCCACCCTAGCTCCTTTTATGTCTGGCATTCTTTGGCAGCTGGATTTGCCCTGCTGGTTTAGGGCCACTGCCTCCCCCATTCTACCTGCTATCATTTCTGTGTAAGGCAGGATAGTAGGAATTCTGATGCCTTGCCCTAATGGGAATGCAGTTTTGTCATACTTTTTTTTTGTTTTGTTTATTCATCAATATATTTAAATCTCAACAAAATCCTATCTGTGGATACTTAAAATCCAGATAAGACACATTTCTACAAACCTGAGAAAAGCTCCAGAAGCAAAGCCTGAAGCTTTAAGAAACAAATGCCCTCAGTAGCTGTTGCTACCACAACAGTATTGTCAGCCTTCAAGCCCTGGTTTCTGTCAGTAAAAGGCAGGACAGGGGGCAGGGCCCTTTCCAGGGCTATTTTGGATTTTGAGAGCAGATTCCTCTGGGCCAGCCCCAACAGCAACCACAGGAAAATTGCAGGGCTCCCAGGAGAAGAGAATGGTAGTGGGGAGGGCAATACAGGGGAAAGTGAAGTGTCCCCCGCAGGTCCTTGCAGGTTTCCCACCGTGCATCTGGGTCCAATCTAGGCAGCACCATACAACTGAAACTAGTTTGGCAGCTGGTCCTGTGCAGCTGCTTGTCAAGTCATAAGTCTGTAGACCCAGGGAGTCCCACAGGCAGACATAGATCCTTACTTTGTCTCTGGATTAGCCTGTTTATGCTGCGTTTAATCGTCTACCTTGGCACCCATCACGTTATTATCAGATACAGTGATTCATACACACCCAGCATCTGAAGCATTATCACTACACTCTAACGTACTGTGTTAACAAATTCATAATAATTACTGCTGCCAATTTGGTAATCACAGTCAGCATACTTATTGAAAGCCCTGCATGAATACTAAGTATGCCTGTCCAACAGGCACACAGCACTCCCAGGAGATATGGACTATTTCAGTGTGTGACATTAACAATGCATCTCTGATCCTCTCTCACACTGTTTGCACCAGAGCAGTGAGTTAATAATGCAGGACAGGGTGCAGAAGAGAAACTGAGCAGGTTCCTATTTGCATTCTAGGTTGATTTAAATGTCACGTGCAAGAGCTGCTCTTCCTGTCTTCTATCAACAGCTATTAGCCGCGATCGCCAAAATGAACCCAGTGTGCTCACAAAAGGGCAATTTTAATAAAAGAAACAGGGTTAGTAAATAGAATTGGTCAAGAGGGCACTTTCATAAAGGGAACAGAATTGTAGTGTATTGTGCTGCTTATAGTATGCATTATCTCGTTTGTACTGCATTGTTTTCTAATTTTTGTACTCCAGCTGTTGGTATGGTATGTCTTAGACTGCGACTGTCTCATCTTTATTGAGAAAGGCAAAAGAGTGCATGCACATGAAAGCTTATACCTAAAATAAAACCACGTGCAGCCTTGACCCGTGCCCTTCATGGCTCATTAAAGCTGGCTGTCAGGCGTTTCAAGGTGCCCTCAGGGATATTATTAACAAGTCCCTCTTGGAGGGGCTGTTCCCAGGGGCTCTCAAGGAAGTGACGGTCTGCCCTCTCTTAAAAAACCCATCTCTGCCAACTTGCCCATTATTGTAACTTACAACTTGTATTGTATATAGGGCATTTTTGCTCAATTTGGCTGCAAGCTATGACAACATAAGGTTGTATTGACTGCAAGCTACAAAGCACAAAGTCACAGTCTGAAAAAGATTTCAAAACAGGATATTAGCCAGCATTCCTGTCTGATGTCCTTGATATCCTTGTTTATTAATTCTGTGCATTACCATTTATGCATGTGTACAATTTCTACTTTCCTGTATATGTGTTACTATTATTGATTATTTCATAAACATTCTTAGCCTCTGGCGCTCTGCACATCTTCTTCTCTTCTTGGAATAGTAAAACATCATCCCTTAAAAAACAAAAACAAAAAACCCAAAACCATCTCTGGATCCGGCTGAATTGGCAAACTATCGGCCTGTCCCAATTTGCCCTATTTGGGCAAATTAATTGAGAGGGCGGTGGCGATAAAGTTGCAGAGCTTTCTGGATGACACCTCCACATTAGATCCCTTCCAGTCTGGCTTCTGACCAGGCCATGGGATGGAGACGGCACTGGTCGCCCTCACAGACGGCCTCCGGAGGCATCTGGATCGGGGTGAAACAGCGGTGCTGTTGTTGTTGGAGCTGTTGGCAGTGTTCGACACGGTTGACCATCAGCTCCTGACCCACCGCCTCGCTGACATGGGGATTCAGGGGCTCGCCTTGCAATGGCTCGTCTCCTTTCTCCAAGGTCGGGGACAAAGGGTGGCTATCAGGGAGCAGCTGTCCCGAAGGCACCCAGTGATCTCTATGCGCCCCCTTGCCCAGAGACACGGGCCAGGGTGGCACCAATATGCGGATGACACCCAGCTGTATCTGTTGTTGGGCGGACAGTCCAACTCTACCCCGGAAGACCTGGACCGGGCGTTACAGGACATGGCTGGATGGCTTAGACTGAGTCGATTGAAATTGAATCCGACAAAGACGGAGGTCCTGTACCTGAGTCGGAGTGGACCGAGGTTAGGGATCCCACTACTGGCCTTCGATGGGGCGCCGCTGGTGCCAGCGCCAAGGGTTAGGAGTTTGGAACTGCTCCTGGATGCCTCCTTAACAATGGAGGCCTAGGTAGCAGCCACTGCCAAAGCAGCCTTCTACCATCTACGGCTGATTAGGCAGTTGGTTCCCTTCCTTGAACACAATGAACTGGCAACAGTGATCTACGCAATGGTCACCTCGAGGTTAGACTACTGCAATGCTCTCCACATGGGGCTGCCCTTGGCGCCGCGCAACTCCAGAAGCTGCAGCTGGTGCAAAATGCGGCAGCCAGGCTGTTGATGGGCCTCTCTATGCGAGAGCACGTCCAGCCTGTGCAGATGGCATTGCACTGGCTGCCAACAGCATACCAGATTCGCTTCAAGGTGCTGGTTTTGACCTTTAAAGCCCTTTATGGTCAAGGACCTGCCTATCTGAAGGACTGCCTTTCCCCACACGTTCCCCAGAGAGCACTACGGTCAGGGACACAAAACCGTTTGGCCCTCCCTGGTCCTGAGGATGCCAGGTTGGTATCGACCAGGACGAGGCCCTTTTTTCTATGGCAGCTCCACCCTACTGGAATGAGCTCCTGGATGAGATCAGGGCCCTGCGGGACCTCGCACAGTTCTGCAGGGCCACAAAAACGGAGCTCTTTCGCCAGGCATTTAGGCAGAAGCCGTGTTATCATCTATGCCCGGTGCCAACCTATCTCCAGCCTGAGCCCGCTGCTAATGGATGGACTGATAAACGCACTTTATTGTATTGATACTGCCATCGGTTTGGCAATTGTTTTAATAACCTGTGTATTTTATATTAATATTTGTATTGTTGCTTACCTATTGGTTCTTCTGTAAGCCGCCCTGAGCCTGCCTTGGTGGGGAGGGCGGGGTAAAAATCAAATAAATAAATAAATGAAAATTAAAGGTGCCACTAGGCTCAAGCCTTGTTCTGCTGCTTCAGACCAACATGGCGGCCCACCTGAATCTAAAAAGTAAACCAAGAGCCCATGTGCCTCTGAATGCCAGCTGCAGTAGCAACTGCCTTCTTGCCCAGCTGATTTGTTTTTTTACTTTAAGAACCTAAGAAGAGCCCTGCTGGATCAGACAAGTGACCCATCTAGTCCAGCATCCCCTCTCACACAGTGGCCAACCAGTTCCTCTGAAGATCCAACAACAAGGCATAGAGGCCAAGGCCTTCCCCTGTTGTTGCTTCCTCCTGACACTGGCATGCAGAGGCTGACTATTTCTGAACGTGGAGGTTCCCTTGAGTCACCCCCATGGCTAGTAGCTACTGACAAACTGATAGTCCTACTTTGTTTACAGTCATGCACTTCCCAGAAACTGGACTAGACGGTTCTTTTGTCTGATGCAGCAAGGCTGTTCTTCGGTTTCTACTTTAAATCAGGGATAGGTCAGGACTCTCCACTTGGGAACATGTGAAGCGACAGTGAAGAGGAAAGTATTCCATTAAGCATGTGTAGAGTATCTCCCTGTGGGCCCCCCCTGAATGTATCTGGGATTAAAACGGCCTATTCCAGAATCCCAAAATCTTTCTGGGAAATTAGAAGATCCCACTTATTTAATTTATAGTTTACCTTCCTCACTGAAATTCACATTGGATTACACAAATTGATACAATCAATATCATGGGACATCTAAAAAGTACTGTACTACGATTACAGAAATCTGAATAAACATTGCATGTGAGAGGTGATACAAAGCAGAAATATGGTAATGCATCTGCTGCAATGAAATGATAACGGGCGGGTCATACATGCAGCAACCTGACACCACATCCTGAAACACAGTGGAATTGTCCAGCCTCCCTTTCTCCTTGCAAAGCACCATCCTGATCCATGCTCAGCAACCCAACAGGGCAGGAGACACAAGGCCCCGGGCAAACCCATGCCGGGCCCTGGCTCACTCCGGCATCCTCACGGGCTCTCTCCGTTCAAGAGCAACCTGAGTTTAAAAGCACCACCAGCCCAAACTCCATGAGATGCTAGAATTTGCAACACGTTGCCGTGCCCTAAGAACAGAGCCTTTAAACGCCCTTTTTGCTCCTGCAGCCCCAACAGATTCACTGACCCTAGTTTTAGCCCGCTGACCTCAACGGGCTTCGACTGGAGAGCAGCCAGCCCATTCATTACAGTGGGACTCCTCTCTGGATAAAGCTGCGTGGGGTCGGGCAGGCTGCACTCCTGCGAGTCAGAAACCGATGGCCCTGCTCTGGAGCCCAGCACCGCCTTGGATCCGGGCATTTCCTGCCGGGTCGAGGCTGCGACGCCCCTTTCCATCAATACACGAAGCCCCCGCCGGCTCTCGGCGTTTCCCTGCGAGGAAGGGGGCGGCGGGCCGGGCGACACCTGCCCTGGCGCCGTTCATGTCTTTCTCGCCCAGGGAGCCTCACCTGGCTGCCTCCCTTTCGAGGCGGCGGCGGGCGGAACGTTCCCGGCTTGGGGCCCCCAAGGGAAAGGAGTTTTGGCCCGGCCGGGGCCCCTTTTCGGCCCCCCCCCCCCCCCGTTCTTGCCACAGGAAGGCCTCCTTCGTTCCCTCCGCGCCAGCCCGGCCACTTTACCTCAGCCGGCCTCTGACTGCCGCTGCCGCCGCTCCCCGGCCTCATTCTTGGCGCGCAGCCGCCTTGCCCTGGTCCCTCGGAGGGCGCCTTTCCCTCCTCCCGGTCGCCGCCGCCGCCGTGAGCCAGCCGGGCCGGGCCGGGCCTCTTCTGCCGCCTCTTGTGCCTTCCCCCGCCCGGGCCTGTGTGGGCTGAGGCGAACGCCGCCTCCCTCCCCGGCAGGCCGGGCCAGCGGCGGCGAGGAGGAAAAACCGGCCTCGCTGCTTGCAACGGCGAAGAC